CAGAGTTACTGTACGGTTTTTTCCATAAATGTCCTTTCCCATTCCAAGTTTTGTGAGGAACACCCAGAGTTACTGTACGGTTTTTTCCATAAATGTCCTTTCCCATTCCAAGTTTTGTGAGGAACACCCAGAGTTACTGTACGTTTTTTCAATAAATGTCCTTTCCCATTCCAAGTTTTGTGAGGAACACCCAGAGTTACTGTACGGTTTTTTCCATAAATGTCTTTTCCAGTCCAAATGATGCAAACTGTGTCAGCCTGTGCTGAAAGGGTTAATTCATTAAACCTGAACAGAAGCTAAAGTGTCTGGCTGAAAATTCTGATTTACCCATTGGACAGTGACAGCATCTGATAACACTTATGTTTTTTTTTTACTGAAAACTAATCCGAACCACGTTATTATCAACTAAATTAAGAAAATCGAAGTTTTATAAGGTATGTTGATAATTATTAAGAAATCATGAAAATAAGTCTGCCAGAACGGGCAAAAATATTATGGGTTTAAAAGAGTTAATTACCACATGCTCTAAGTAATCTCTCATAAAAGTATAGTTAATAAATTTGGTGGTAATGTTGTTATTAGTGTTATTCTAAAATCGCTATTCTGAGTGACATGATAATATTTTAGGTAGACTGCTGTAAGAATCATCATCAAGGATTCTACTGATTTTTTACCAAACTGTATTTTTAGATGAATTCTGCTTCTTTAGTCTCTTATCAACCATAGTCCAAGACTGAATTAGATACTTGCACCAGAAATGGATGCAGTATCATTGTACGAATGGTTAGAAATAGGCTTCATTAAACCATCCTGTATGTCAAATGTTTAACTGTCTCTCACACTGCACTGGTGTACAGAAAACTAATATGATGAATAATTATGTATGTTAAATGTATTCAGAAATAAGTTGATAAATACACGTGTTTGATACATTTAGGGTCTGACAGTTTAAAACATTTAATCTACTGTTTAAGGCGCAGATGATAACCAAAAAATGGTTCCAACTTAATTGCTATCATTTGTATTGAAATATGAAGTTATAGATAAATATGTCTGAAACTATTTGAAATGTTCTGAACAATAAGAAAATACTAAATTATTTAAATAGTTTCATAACAGATTGAAATGGAATAAAACAAAACCTTAAGAATTTTTTTTTAATATGCAAATTTTATAGACCTCTATAATGCATTATTGTAATGCATTGACTTCTCATAGTAATAGTTTTTTCTTATTTGTATATTTGAAGTTACAAGTTAAACTTTACTTTTTTAAAGTAGAATAATAGCTTGAAAAAATATATGACCTAAAATTTTATCAAATTAGTAAATCATCTTATTGGTACAAGCTGGATTATATAAGTTATTGTCAGGGATATAACTTGCTATAAAAAATTATAACGTAGAATAAAAAAAAATTCAAAACACATGAAATCTATTTTATCAAATGACTAAAATTGGAGTAACAAAATGTTGATGAAGCTATTTTAGACTCACCAAAACATTGTATTTATATGTATAGCTTTTCTTTATCCAATTTATCTGTTTGATAAAATTGTTTACAGATAACTGATAAAGTTGAGTTATAGCCTTATTTGATCACCTAATTACCATTAAGAAGTGTTTCACAGCTTGTGAAGCTCCCAATATCATTGAAAAGTGTTGCTAATGTGGAGAACTGCGAACTAGATAAAGAGTCAAAATGTTCATCTTTCTTTTTCCATGCTAGCCAAAAAATGTGTGAAGTTTTCACAAAGGTTTTAGTATGACTGAAAAGCATTTTAAGAGCACTTGGGAACAGGCTATCACTAAGCACAGTTGTGCTTAGTATAATCTAAAAAAAATCATAATTGTAGAGTAAATGATGTTATCATAAACCTCTTGAAGTTAGCTTTCTTACAGAAACCTGGTGTTCCTTTAAAAAACTTTAGTGCTTAGTATAAGCTAAAAAACATCATAATTGTAGAGTAAATGATGTTATCATAAACCTCTTGAAGTTAGCTTTCTTACAGAAACCTGGTGTTCCTTTAAAAAACTTTAGTACAGGGTGAAACAGAAATTACCAGCCAATAATAGATGATAATTAGATGAGTGTAACGTGTAGAATGCTTTGTACACTATACAATCAGTGGCTTTAAGGAGTCAACCCTTATATTATGTCTGTAGTGAAAGAGTAAAGAAAAAATCAATAATACACATAATATTAAATTATATTATACACATTCATAGAATACACTAACTCAGTCAGGGGAAAAATCATCACCAAAATAATAATAAAAAAACATTTTTAAAATGTAAAATGATGTAGGAATGGCAGTACCAAAAATAATGCAAACATGAATATAGGGCTGACACAGCTATAAATTTTTCGTATATTCTTTTATTACTATATGTTCTTCAACACTAAGTCCCAAGAAGTCAAGATTATGACAGGTGATGACCGACAAAACTGATGTGATATTAACAATATTATTACGTTTGAATTCTAAAACTAAAACAAATGTTCTCTTATGAACCTACTTCAATGAAGTTGTATAAAAAAAAATAAGAGGGGAAATGAGTAATAAATTTTTTTTTTTAAATAAAGTATGATGTAGGGATGGCAATGCTAAAAAAAGTATAGAAACAAGGTAGGGATAAATACATAAAACCATGCAAAAATCACTACATAAGTAACCAAATCTTTCCAATAATACCTTTTATCTACAATTACACGTTGAATTCTCGTCAGCTGCACGAATTCTGGTTTAAATGAAAGCATCTAAACTGAATAGTGTTATATAGTCTTATGGTGGCTAATAACCATAAGCTTGTAAGATTGATTCAGTATTTACTGGCTACTTATGTAGGGATTTTTTGTATGGTTTTGTGTATTCATCCCTATCTTATTTCTGTACTTTTTTAACATTACCATCCCTACACCATACTTAATTTTTGCAGGTTTTTTTTTATCACTAGTTTATGTTTAAAACTGGAAATATTATGATTGTTTTAAGGGCACTAGTTTTTTAAATTTTATGTTGGGAGAAACCAAGTGTATAAGCCTTTGTTCTGAATATATACTCTAAATGGAATTTATTTCAGGTGGATAAAAATTACACACACACACACACATATATATTTTGAAATTGAGATATTTTTCCCTTTTCATAGTCTGCCAACCAGGGTGGTACGGCCAAGACTGTCAGAGACCTTGTTTATGTGTGAATGGTGGTACATGTAACCGTGTCACTGGAGAATGTCACTGTCGTCCAGGTTTTGTGGGAGAAATGTGTGAAAGAGGTTGGTACTTTTCCTCATTTGAAAACTTTAATAATTCTATTCAAATTGTGCCCAAATTGAATATTTAATGTTAATACTTCATTTTTAGCTGATGTCCTTTTCTTAAGAAGCATTATCAATAAAATTCCTACTGTTTTGTTCTTTTGTATTGGTGTTGGATTTGAAGTTTCCAAATTCATAGATTTGCTATTGCCCCTTGAGTTGATGTTCTCAATTGTATAGATTTATTTTCATTAGATTTTTAGTTTACAAGGTTATAGGCTTTTATCTTGTGAGATACAGCTATCAGAAACTTAATTATTCTGTAACAAAGAATGTAAATATAACTTTATTCATACAGCTTTTTACGGTTTTACTGCAGATAAATGTGTGTAAAAACACGCACTCATACAATGAGGCTTAATTGAGGAATGTCTTATTTTCTTACCTTGCCGTGTAATCCAATCCGTTCTATATTTCTTAATGCATTATGAGCATGTTAAGTACATATGAAACTTGGGTTTCCTAGTTTACTTATGGGACTTTTCTGATAACTTAATATTCTGGGAGCAATAGCAAAGCTAGGTGTTTCTAATATATCTCCAAGAAGATGTAGATTTTTTGTCTTTAGTGATTCACGGATAAAGTTGTCTCCAGTTATTATAGTCACTGCAGTCTAGCTGATCTGAACTAGAGACAAAATTATTATTATTCAAAGTTTTGTCTTTAGTGATTCACGGATAAAGTTGTCTCCAGTTATTATAGTCACTGCAGTCTAGCTGATCTGAACTAGAGACAAAATTATTATTATTCAACGTTTTGTCTTTAGTGATTCACGGATAAAGTTGTCTCCAGTTATTATAGTCACTTCAGTCTAGCCGATCTGAACTAGAGAAAAATTATTATTATTCAACATTTCATCTTGCTCAAAATCACTGATTCCTTATTTTGTGTACAATGGAATTGTACATTTTACTAAAAACTTACTACATTTTATGTAGATACATATATAGTGAATTTAGAATTATAGCCAACAATACAGGATCAGTTCATTCAATTAATCAAAAGGCTAAACTATTTGTATTATAAATTACCTTCTTGATTGTTTTAAAGCTGTAAAACATCAGAGTTATAGATTCAGTAGGAATGGTGAAACATGGCAGTAGTTTGACTGTGGAAGTGTAGGTGCGCATCTCGATGAATGTGATAGTTCATGAAAAGAAGAAGTCATGCCCATGAACATTAGCTATCTGGCAAGTTTTTACTGATTTTGTCTCTATTAACATGGGATTATTAGAACATCTGATATGTGGTGTTTTCGTCCATTAACATTAAATATGTTGGTTTTTAATCAGATATGTTTCCAAAAAAGTGTGATCTGTAGTACTTTCACTTTTTGTTTCACTTTTGAAATAAGTTTGATATTTATTATTGATTATACATGTTTATTTATAACAGTAAGGAAAGGAAAAGTAATTAAATTCAATTTAATTCTATAATGCGAGGTATTAAAAATTAACTGCAATTGTCTTTTTTTGATTAGTAACTAAAAGTTTTGTTTACTTACAGCAACCTATACAATGGAAAAACTTACACAAGAGCATCATCTAACAAGAAATGAGGCAAAACAGTACCAGTGAGTGCCTTGATCTTTCCTGATAGTTTTGTTTCAAAGAAAAATATCTAGCCTAGAATTATATATATATATTTTTTTCAGTAAAATGAAAGATTTCCTACTAATTTAAGGTAAGAAAGATCAGAAAATAATGCAAAAAACAACAACAATCTAACTATTTTTGATGGTTTCTATGTACATCATGCAATTCTGTCTTTAGTTATCTGTATCTTGATGATATTGTATTGAAAAGTTTCTTATTCTTTAGGTTGTGGCTAACACTCTTAATCGTTATTGGTGCTGTTGCTGCTGTTTCTTTACTATTCAACATAATCCTTCTTTGTTACAACTGTGATAATTTCTGCCGAACTAGATCACCTTACTTTGAAAAAAGAGAAAACTGTTTTCAGAAACAGAGATCTCGCTTCTCCTATGATCCTCATTCAAATTTAGAGATATCTTCTGAAGAAGAATTAGTGTTGATGCATGGACAAGGAGGTGGTGAACAATAACTTTTACTGCTCTTGTTGTATTTGGTGCTCCTACTGGTTTCTCAGCTTTAGAGTGACCTGTGATATATTTTTTTCAAACAGAAACTATTTTCTTATTGAGCTAATCAGAGTTTTAATAATCCATTCACGTACATTGAATGTAATATCTATCTGAATAGTTATGATGATATGTAGAGTAGAGCCTCATACGTGTGAAAATTCAATAATGGGTCAAATTGAATGCTTAATGTAGAGAAAAATAAACTTTGATATTTTTTTTAAATGTATCATTTAAAATATTCCAATATATCTACTTACTAACAGTGAATATCGAGCACTGCTGATTTCTTTTAAAGTTGTTGGTATTTCTGCATTTAATAACTGTTTTTATGCATTCCTCAACTCAGTTACAAACTTATATTTAAATTCTCTATGACAGTCACTTTTTCTCTAGCTTTAATTTGAGTACAGGGATGGATAAGGATGACAGTAAAACCTTAGATGACACTATCAGTAGATCCAATATTTATGTAGATGTTAAAAGTAATTTTTAAGCTGTTTTTTATTATTTCGCCCTGACCCAGTCCTTAATTTCAGCTTTAATTTGACCTCAGTCAATTAGGTTATGTTGGTCATATATAATGCAAATATACTTTATAACTATGAATAAAAACCCTATAACCCGAGTGCTTTCGAAAGGTAGACCTTTCTTCAGTTTGCCCCTGAAGAAGAAAGGTCCACCTTTCGAAACCACTCTGGTTATAAGGGTTTTTATTTCATTTCTATCAAGACTTCTTGAAGCTATGTGTTCTTATAACATCATGAATACCAATAATAGAAATTTTAGACTAACCATAAGTCATTAGTAATAAATATGATGATTAAAGCATTGTCATGTGAGAGTAACAGAGTTGAACACATTTTGATAAAGTGCAAAAGAAATTAGTTTTAATAATAAAACGTGCATAACACGTGCAGTATAACACTAAACTGAAAATATACAAGAAACATTAAAAACGTTTACAAGAACATATGCATGTGCAGTATAACACTAAACTGAAAATATACAAGAAACATTAAAAACGTTTACAAGAACATATGCATGTGCAGTATAACACTAAACTGAAAATATACAATAAACATTAAAAACGTTTACAAGAACATATGCATGTGCAGTATAACACTAAACTGAAAATATACAAGAAACATTAAAAACGTTTACAAGAACATATGCATGTGCACAAATTTGTTTGTTCTGTAACTAAATCCATAATCAATGATCAAATTACTGGCTTGATTTGAACAATATCTGAGACCTAACTTGGATGCATAATCATACCAGATAACATCAGCACGTGAGGGCCAAACAAACCGATTTGAATCTATCTGTTGCATCATTTTCACTTTCAGTTTCTATTTGAAGGCAATTATAATTCCTGCACAGAACTTGCCATAATAGAAAATAACACACCAAAGACTTTTATTGCCTCAAGTGTCAGAAATCAATTTGTTGATTCAGTGAAGTTTGATAGGGACATGGAGGAATCTCTTCAGAAAACCCAGTGTCTCTCTGTTTATTTGAACTGGTTTCTACTTCAAACTGAACAATTTATGGTAAGTAGTATTGACAAAAAGCAGGATAAGAACAATAACAACTCAGGATTCTACAGGAAATAGTATCAAGTATTTGTGTGAAGACTTGGTGAGTTTTCATTGTTCCAGAAACTGGTTGTAACTCTGGAATTTCTTCACCTAGTGAGAAGATAACATTATGAACAAAATAGTGAAGAACAACAACTTATGATGCCCATATTTTTAATTCACTAAACAATAATAATGCATCCTTAACATCAACAAAATGGGAAATTAGGGCATCCCTGCTCTTTTTAATTGCAATACCAATGCTGCCTGGATCCCCCTTCTGATGCCAGCTTCCAAGAAATTTTACAAGAGAGTTTTGAATCCAAGAGAAAGTAGTTTTATTTCTATTAAATAAAAGTTAAATCTATTCCATTATTGAGTTATTGGCCAATCACTTTGAAGGTATAGCACATCTATATCTGGGTATCTAACTTTGAGCTCTTTCGAGACTGGTTAAAGGTAGTCCCATATAGCAACATCATCATGCCAGTGGGATTCAGACATTGTGCAGAATGATATTATTTTGCCATCAACAAGGCTTACAACATATTTGTGCGAAGTCACGTGCATGCAATGCTCTAAAATGTGAAGCTTTAATTTCTTCATTATACTTAAAAATCTAGTTCTCTACAATATCAGTATGCTTCATTTGGCAAGAGTTTATCTTTTATGGTTTAATAGTTAAAAGTTGAGGAGCATGACTGTAAAAAGTTTGGCAAAATTTTTGATATAACAAGTCATTAAAAGATGAGATGAGATCACTGTGTGCTTTTCTTTTACCCCCTTAATACAGTTTGTTATTTATCACCATGACCTGTGTGCACATGTATTATAGGATCCACTCTCACCACCACATTCCCTGCATTATATATGTAATATTTTCTTTTACCCCATTAATACAGTTTGTTATTTATCACCATGACCTGTGTGCACATGTATTATAGGATCCACTCTCACCACCACATTCCCTGCATTATATATGTAATATTTTCTTTTACACATTTATGTTTACAATTCTCGTGGTAGCAACAACTTGCATCCTTATTGCAGCAAAATTTGTAGACAATATCTTCCAATCTCTAAGATGCACGAATAACTTTCTGAACCATCAGATTGCCATTTGTCAGAAAATTTGCAAAGACAAGCAATCAATTATAGAAGGTTTCAACAGCCAAAAAAAAAAAGTTTCATTTTTATAAATTTTTATACGATACTTGAATATCTGATTCAGTTACAAAATTTTGATATTGTGATTCATCAGTCTTTTTTTGTTTCCCTCAAGTGACCGGGGACCTTCTTTCCTGTAGTCATCCTACTGTTTACAACATTCTCAAAGAACTTGTGTATCTTCTTGGATACTGTACTGTCTAACCCCTTTAACTTACCCAATTTGTTATTATAGGTCATTAGTTCACTGCTCTTTTCACTGGCTTTTTTTGTTTCCTAGAATATGTGAATGAGCCGTTTGTAAGAATCATTAATCTGTACTCTCCAAAGATCTTGCCACTAATAGTTTTAGATAATACACATCTGTTGCCTCATTTTCTCATTAAAGTATACTTCTCTTTCAGTTTCTTTGTCAGTACAAAGTGAAATATCGGTGTTTTTTCTTATCTCACCTGCATTTTTCTTGATTTCTTGGGTCTTTTTTTGTTGTTGTTGTTGTGGAAAGTTTGAAGCATTTTGGGGCATGTATTCTCTCACATGGCACCATGTTGCTTGTACTTTTCTTTCAGTCTCCTGGTGGGACAGCAGGAAGTCTACAGGCTTATAATGCTAAAATCCAGGGTTTAATTCCCCACAGTGGACACAGCAGATAGCCGAATGTGGCTTTGCTCTCAAACAAACAAACATTTCTTTCATTGCAATTATTTCTGAAAGCTTTCACTTTATTTTGTTTATTTCTCGATATGCATGAGTTCAGTCTCATCTTTTTTTTTCTTTCTTCCTTTCACTCTCTCTGTTTTTTTTTGAAGTTTTATGCTGAAATCAAGAAATTGAAACACCTAATAAGCTATAAAACATGTGCAGAGCTGTTATTGTCTAAAATGTAATCAAGTTTTAATGAGCTAAAAATAAAAAAATGACTACGTTAAGAGGCCAAGTAAAAGTGTTTAAAATAACATATTTTCTGGGAATCTGCACCCTGAATCCATACAGGGCTTTGCCCCTTGATCTCTACAGGTCCCTACTGCAGGCCCATGGACCACTCCATGGCAATACCTGGGCCATTGTTTAGCAAGAGCCCCACATTTTTCTGCACTGGGGCTCACAAAACCTCATGCCAGCCCTTACCTCTTTTGTGCATTTTTTAATTTTTTTCTCTTGCATTTCTGCTTTTCACTTCTTTTTCTTTGGCAAGATAAGTTTCTCCTCTTCCTGGGTCTGCATTTATTTTCTGGCAATAACACCTCTCTCTTTGTGGACAAGAATGGCATGAAAGAAATCAGTGATCTAAAATGGCTTCACTGTAAACATTCATAGTAAATGTTTTTTCAACTTTACTCTGTGATATTTTTGATCAGTTTGTGTAGGATCTATTAATAAAAAAATAACTGATTATATGTAAGACAGACATAGTAATCAAGTTTAAATCGACTACTGAAATTTACAAAAATATTAAGATAACAAAAAACTGCATTTCAAAGCATAAAATTAACTCCGTCACGACAGTGGTTGTAATGGAGTTGAGAATTTTCTGTTTTGAATAGATCTGTTCAGTAGCAACTATGACCTAGTTGTGACTTATAAAACCAATCCAATACCCTAAGCTACCAAACACTTTTACTTGTTAATAAATTGGTATATTTCTTAAAACTTGCCAACAGAGTTGAATTAGTAAACATTTTAGAAACTTAGCGGATATCTTAAAATATACTGAAAATTAATTAATACCTTTCCTGTCAGAACAATGAGCAATGACATGCTAAAAAAAGATGTAAAGAAAGTAGAATCAGATTCTCTAACCTTTTTTGATGATTCTATCATCATTGATCCGTGCAGTCTTGAACCGTGCAGGAATCGGCTCTGCATCTTCCATCATGTGGCCAAAGCGGTTCTTGATACCAGATTCTACAGCACTTACAAGTGTTATACAGAGCTTGATCTTTCTAAGCTTTATCACAGGAAGTAGATTGTAGGCAGTAGCCACTCCACCTGCATATTTTTCTCAGATTTTAAGATGTCCAGTGCCTTGGTCATGGGTTTCATTATGACATCGTACTTTGTCAGGAATGCCAGCTCCACGGGATTCAACCCGTCAGTTTACATGATTTTAATAAAATATTCTAATATAAAACAAATTACACAGTAAGAAACAAAATGTAATCTTGCTTTCAAAAAGATTGATTAGTAAATCACAAAAAGTGTAGGGATAGAAAATACAGTATAGGAAACGTCATAACTGTTTACAGTGATTCATTCAGATAATACCAATTCTAGAAGCATCATAATGTATAATAATTATTATTGAGCATATAAAATAGCCACAAGGTAAAAATAATACTGTAATTATCAATATGTTACTCACATTTTTATTTTAAATTCAGCATAAACGTTCATAATGGATCCTTCCCCTTTCTCATTGCGATCCTCTCCACAGCCAGGTACAGGGAGTTCCATCAAGTCTGATTGGAGCGAATAAACTGTAATTGGCATTGGTCATTGTTACATATTAAAATTTCAAATAGACTGAAACCAAGTCATATGATAATCAAATTAATGAGGATATCTAAAGATTTAAATTTAGAAATCAGGTGAATATTGATATGTAGCAAGTTTATGGTATTTGTCAACAAGCTTAATGTACACCGTTTTTGTGTTTCAAATATATTTTAATATATGCACTATAACACAAGAAACAACAAAGGTTATTACAAATGATGATACTCAAAAATAATATTGAATCCTTTATCTGCCCTGTAAATTCCTCGATATCTTGTCAATTATCAATGATGATAGTAATATCCAAAGTCCTAAAATGTTTCCATATTAAGCGAGAGTCATAAAATGTTTCTGTAGAAATTACAAATGTCTTATTTAAATCCTGCAAAGTTGAATGACCTGCAGTATTCGAAACCTATGAATGTTCCTGGTCATGTATTCAAAGTACCCGATTGATAAGTGTTATGTCAGTCGAAGGTATAGCTTCTGACATTAATAAATGTAATAACACTATGAAGCTAAATTTGAGTAACATGTGATTCTTCACTGGTAGAATACCTGGCTCATCTTATAATTCTAGAGGTATATCAGGCATTCAAAGTCTTGTATTCTTTAATATCATCATGCAACAATGGAGTAAACGTAGTAGTTATCCCAAAATTAGAGCCAGATTGGCTATTGGTGAAGCCAAATGCTGCATTATAAAGAAATACTCTGAAAAACTGGCTAGATTCTAGCTAATAATACAGTTTGGAGTCACTTTTTATAAAATACAAAAAATGACTGTAGAGATGTACATCTCCTAAAGTGTTAGTGTACTGTTTCAAAGAAATAACTTAGATTTCCTAAATGGAAGCCATACTTATGCTAGTAATATTTGGGGTTGTTTAGTAGTCATAAAAGCAACAAAGATATAACGTAAAAACTCCTAATAGTGAAACCAGGCTTTAACATACAAGTTATAAAGAAATAAGTATGTTCTAAAAGTAGAGCCAGACTCTGGATAATAGTATGTTTAAATATTGCAGCACATTCACATGTTTCAAAGATGCAAGTAACATTATATGAAAGTAGAGCCAGACTCTGGATAATAGTATGTTTAACTATTGCAGCACATTCACATGTTTCAAAGATGCAAGTAACATTATATGAAAGTTGAGCCAGACTCTGGATTATAGTATGTTTAAATATTGCAGCACATTCACATGTTTCAAAGATGCAAGTAACATTATATGAAAGTAGAGCCAGACTCTGGATTATAGTATGTTTAAATATTGCAGCACATTCACATGTTTCAAAGATGCAAGTAACTGCTATCATTATGAGATGCAGCTCCCTCTAGCAAACAAACAAGTTATAATATTACAAATAGAGCTGGTTTCTTTTGGCTCTAAATGATGGACGCCATCTTCAGCATTATTATATTTTGTCATCCATGACTGGGCTATGGGTAGGTTTAGCTCCACCAGTGTCAAGTGTTGCTGGTTTTTTGGCCATAACTGGTAAATCACCTGTACCATCAATTGCTGGGATGGTAAAATTTCCATCTTATTATTATTAGTTTTCTAAGTAAGTTATCCCATGTTGTAACACGTTATGAACTTGGAAGTATTAAGAATAAACAGATTGAGTTGAATTCTAAGTGTCTTCAAAAAATAAAAGCTATATTTTCGTTAAAGAAAACTTTCATACATAAATAAACAGTATGTTAGAAATGGAATATATTAACTCCTTATAAGCTGGTAACAGAAATAGCTCATTTTGACAGATAATAGTAGAGTATGAGAAAAAAAATGTTTTCATAAGACAATGTTTAAATTTAATTCTTGGAAGACAAACATCTGTAAATAAAAGTTTAGTATTCTAAAACAAAGCAATCCAGGAAAGGTTTTCCATTTAATGTTATTCAAGTTGAATGATGATGAGCCGTCTCGCACTCTTCTAGCCTCAATATATGTAAGTTTAATCTTCAGAAATCGTTGTGTTAGATTACTAAAAAAAGTCAATTGAGAAGAATTCAATGACATCAAATAGATGATAAAATATATTTAATAAAGAATGATTTACCTCTTGAGACGAGTCATCCAAGAGATCTATAGCAACTTTCGTACAAATCCATTTAGCCGTTTTAAATGTCACCTGTTAAAGTTAAAAAAACAAGAGGAAGAAGAAACAGAAGTCAGTAAAAAGTGAGTATTGTTACAGATCTTTTTCAGTTTTTAGGCATGGTGGTCTCAAACTTTAATTGTAAACTAGCAAAAAGAATCGTTTATACGAGTCTCTGTGTCTTATTTATTTAATTATTTTTAAAAAACAAAAATTCCTATACCGATAATCATTTTTAACTTTACGTGTATTATCTTAATAATACCATCAAAATAAAATATGCTTTAATACTAGCTAACATGTTTTCTCTTTGAAACAATATTACAACAGTAAACCAATTACGAAGCTCTCATCGAAATGTGGAAACATATACTTTGTGCCAATGTGCTTTTACTGCCATCTCTTGGGAACAACAAGAGGGTTTCAAGTGCGTTAAAGATATTTTCAGAAGACATTAAATACGAGACGTATAGATATATAAATAATTTGAAGCTTAAGTTATTAACAATTATTACCTGAATATTATTACTTTTAGACAACTGGAAATATCTTCAGATAAATATGCATTGATTTGACAAAAAAATATTCTTTGATAACGACCCATGACCTAAAAATTCGAATAATTTGTTATTCACCGCGTTGAGCTCTGTTCAGAGTAGCATTAAAGTAATATTTGATACACGTTTACCGAAATTGTATTTTGCTCATTCAATGCCTACAAACGAAAATCAAGAAAACTTAAAAACGAGAAGTCCGTATGTTGCTGTTTTAAAGTCTGATTTCTGACAGATAAGAAACTACAATACAAATTGATCCATTAATCTTTACGTCATCACATACTACAATGAATATATAACATTGTTATTTACTGCAATGCCACTTATCAGTTAGTATATTACAAGGGTTCTTGATTGTGATTTACTTGTGTTGATTCAACGTGATTTTTAGTATAAGTAATGGATATAAAAAGCTTGTGCTGCCATCTTTTAAGCATAATAAGAAGCGTTGAATAATTATTTGAAATATATTATGAAGTCACACAATAATTAGGAATAAGCTTTGAAGATATCTTCGCCTAACTAACTTGTTCCAAAAATTAACACCTTGTTATCTTCGGTGGTTTAACTTGCAATGTACTTCTCTTTTAATTCGTTCCAAAGCAGAATAAAAAATGGTCTTTTCATATTCACATTCCTGTAACGGAAACGAAATGAATAGAGCATATAACTTAACATTTTGGGACAACAATGGACTTATTGGTCCATCTGGGCTATCCCGTCCTCTAAAATAAACTAAGACTATTAAATAAATTAAAAGGATATCTTAAGGCTTACCATTCACATAGTTATCGAGCTTTCTCTTAAACTCACTTATATTTACTGCCTCCACAATATCCGAAGGCAACCCATTCCAAAGTCAAACCACCCTGTTAGAAAAATGAAACTGTCTTTGTGTCCCCTAGTCCTACTATTAAGTACGAAAAAAGATTATGCATCAACACTATCAACTTCCTTTACAATCTTAAATACCTCAATCAGATCTCCTCTCTCTCTTTTCTTCAAGAGAAAAAAATCTGAGAGATCCCAATCTCTCCTCGTATGACAACCCCTCCATCCCAGGCACCATTCTAGTAATCCTCCTCTGAACTCTTTCCAACAGTTCAATGTCCTTCCTAAGGTAAGGAGCCCAACACTAAACACAATATTCCAACTGTGATATAACCAGTGACCTACACAATGAAATTATAAACTCTTTAGACTTCTATTCAATATTTCTGTAGTTACAACCTAAAAATCCTATTTGCCCTACTACAAGCAACAGCACACTCCTTGGGTGGCTTAAGAGACTGACTGACTATTACATCAAGATTACTTTCTTCCATAACTCTGTCAAGGTTATTCCCATCAAAATTATACTAATAATTGAAACTGTGATATCCCACATGCATTATCTTCCATTTATTATAATTAAGACCCATTTGCCATTTATTTTCCCAACTTACTAAATGATCTAAATCCTTTTGTAAAACAGCAGCAGCATCCTCACAGCTAGTAACACCCAATACCTTAATATCATCAGCAAATTTAAGTATTTAAATTACCATTCATTCATCTATGTCATTGATGAAAATCAAAAATAGCAAAAGTCCTAATACTTAGCACTGAGGTACCCCACTTGTCACATTAATCGTGTTTGACTGAACTCCATTTATAACAATCCTCTGCCTTCTTCCATCCAGCCACTCTTCTATCCAATATGCTATCTTATCCCCCACACCTATAGCGATAATTTTTTTACAAAGCTTTTATGTGGCACCTT